TATTCCTTAGACCATTGTATTTTGGTCATTAGATTAGGATTTAAGGAGGATTAGTAGTTCATTTGAATTAGGACAAATTAGGTTAAATTTAGGATGGATTTAAGTTGCATTTAGGTCACACTCTTGGCACCACCTTGGCTGCACAAGTGTGACACCGAAATGCAACCCTAAATACATACTAAATTCAATCTAATTTGCATTTAGCTCTTCATGACCGGTCATGCACATGTGACACAAGGTTTGAATTCAAATTTAAATTTGAATTCAAATCTTGGCGCCAACATGTGACCACTCATGTGGCGCCAAGTGTACTCCTAATTTTCGGAAGCTATATGTTCCCTCCTTTCACCTATTGTACTCACTTTGAACATATATGAAATTTGAGAGCCTTTAGTGTCGAGTTTCTCCATTCAAAGTCACCAAGAGTTCACCTCAAAACCTTAGGAAAATCACCTTCTTCCCTCTCTTTGAAGTGAGCTCTCCATTAATGCTTGAGCTTGGATGCTTCCATCCAAGGCTAGACCTAACTCCATCCGTGTTCCTTCATAATTCAAGAGCCATTCCATTCGGTGTAATCTCCTTGAAGAAGATCCGAGCCTAGGAGGAACTTAGGAGGAGTTCATCCTTCATCTCTCCTACTTCCTTCTATCACATCAGCTACATGTTGGATGCCAACCAAATCAGCATCAGGTGAGCCAGCACCAGCTGCAAAATTTCTTCAAGGTGCTCCATTTCCAACCAGTTTTGATTTCCTGACTGCCTCATCTGAAGGTTTTTGAACTTTACAAGAAGAGTTAACATGACCAATGTAGTGACATAATGAACAATAATCAGGAAGTCTATCAAAGTATAATGTCACATAAATCACAAAGCCTTCCCTCTCAACCAATAAGTGGTTCAGGATTGATTCTGCAAGATTGATTTCAACTAGTACACGTGCAAAGTGTCCATAGGATCATTGCACCGTTGCTTGATCTAGTGCAATAGGAGTGCCTACACCCGAAGCCAATCAGGATTTTCCCTTTGTTTTTTTATTTGTGTTTGTTTCCAACTTCTAAAATGTAAATGATTTTATTTTTACCATAACCCTTCTAGGACCTTCTGTCTGAAAGGTTGAGTGTGACAGTGATATAAGTCATATGTAAAGATTGCACCGTTGCTTGATCTAGTGCAATAGGAGTGCCTACACCCGAAGCAATAGCTAGAATGATCATATTGCACCAATATTCTTGAGGCAATTCATGTATACGCAGCTAAACTTGTGCAAGGGAGTTCTTGAAGCTTCTTGGATTGAAATCTGGTTTCCAAAGTGAAAGTCTAAGTAGTCCGGGTTCCAAATTCCAAAGGCCAGCTGCAAGAATTGTTCCAAGATCCTTGCTTTGTTGGAATTCAAACTCAAAGAACCCTCTTCCAAGAGAGATGATTTTCCATCTAGCAATATGTGTCAATAATCGAGCAAGTTTGGCTTTTAATTCAACCAACTTCAAAGGCTTTTGGCCCTTGGCCAAGAAAACTCTACCGTGTAGATGATTGGTGCAGTGAGAGAGACCTTCTTGATAGGCGTCTTTTGGAATCTTGACAGCAATAGCATCTCCCTTCCTGCATGGCTTAGGGAGGGAAGTTATACATAGTAGCCAAGTTTGTGGTCACAACATTGGCAAAAGTTAGTTTTGATGGTGGCTTTAGAGAAATCGATGGTGAAAGGTTGGCCACACAAGGCCAAGGACAAAAATTGTCCACCATGCCTAAGCATGGGTGGCCAGAAAGCACCAAGAGGTAGATGAAGATCTTGGGTGAATCTTGGAGAACTTTTCAAAAGTGAATTTTGTACAAGTAGATACTTTTTTTCTGAGCAGACATAAGTCCCTTTTTGGGAGGTTAAATGATAGGATATTAGTCCTGATAACTAGCTCTTAACAACAAATATTATTTTGTTAATAATATTGCTTCCTTAATATGTCTTTTTATAAGCAAAAGTTAAAATGAGACAAATCAAAATTTCACTGAAACTTTTACAAAATAAAGGGATGATTTCATTTGATAAGTAATGCAATATACCCTTTGTACAATCAATGTAAAATATTTTTCTGAACTTTTGACATATAGAAAATTGAGGTTCAACTCTCAAGTTTACATCTTTTATCTCTATGATTTACATTATTTATAAGAGATATTTTCGTGCCTTTAATGGTTTGGACATTTGACAGGTCTTGGATTTATTACTTCCATTACCTTCATTTTCTTGGTTGGAATTTTTATGTCATCGTGGTTAGGAACTTCAGTTCTCACTCTTGGTGAATGGTTCATAAAAAAAATGCCTCTTGTCAGCTATATATATGCTGCCTCCAAGCAGATAAGTGCAGCAATATCACCAGGTACATATATTTTATTAGCATATATGTTGTCCTTCGTTCCATGCATGTATTCAACGAACTCAATATGATTTCCACTTATTTCTCAGATCAAAATTCTAATGCTTTTAAGGAAGTTGCCATCATAAGGCATCCTCGTGTTGGTGAGTATGCACTTGGGTTCATCACTTCTTCAGTGATACTAAGGAATAGAGATGAGGAAGAGCTTTTTTGCGTTTATGTTCCCACAAATCACTTGTACCTTGGAGACATTTTTCTCATTAATCCAAATGATATTTTAAGGCCTAATTTGTCTGTTCGAGAAGGAATAGGTAAGATAGTTTTTAACTAAGCAGTACATGCTTATATTTTTTCTTTGATTAATTATGATCTCCCACATATCATGATATTTTTTAACATGCATCTAATTTTATTTTTTTTCATTGTGATGTAGAAATTGTTATATCTGGTGGCATGTCAGTACCTCAGATATTGACCACAGTGGATGCTCATGCTAAATTTGCTCCAAGAAAGCCAACCTATGCATCAAAAGTATAATAGTGATGGTATAGTTTGTGAGAAATGTGTATGTTTATTTGAACTTTAGTTCTCGTCCCCCTCGACCTTAGTAAATATAATTTTCTATTTGCCTTTTGATTGTCGACCTTTATCCATATTTAATTAGTCAACCATTTGTTTTATAAATGGTTAAAAAAGATGACAAATATTTTGCTCCTAATTCTTAATTGAAAAAGTTAATTAATAAAGCATAACAAACTTTTCTAATATTGAACATTTAAGCTATAATTGAACACAATCGTACCCCTTACTTATCTTGGTTCTCAAAGTTTCAAAATACTATAGGTTCTAAAAATGTGAAAGAAGATCCAGAGAAAAATAAAGAAAAGGAAAACACTCGTGTGTTGTTCACTATGTCTATAATATTTTTATCGAGTTTTCACTATATTTATAATATTTTTTTAGTTTGAAATTTAGTTGCATTCAATGTTTTTCATATAAATGAATTTAGTGAGACAAATTTAAAGTGTTGAATCAATAAAAAAAAATTATAAATTGTTTATAAAAATTAAAAATAATTTTTATTTTAAAAAAGACTAAATCAATCCAAATTTAGAAGATAAATAATCAAAATAAACATTTTAAAAGATAAAGGACAATAATGAATATTAAAAATAAAATAAATGACTAAAAGTATAATTTAAGCTAATATTTATGATAAAAAAATATATTTAATTTATTAAAAAATCTTGAAACTTGATTTTAGTCTCTCAAAAGAAATTTATATTTTTGCCCCTCTATTTATTTATTTATTTGTTTGTTTTTTAAAAAAAATCACTTTTGATTATCAAAATGTGTGTAGGGATAAAAAATTGAACATTTACAAAAGTGAAATGAAGAAATCAAACATGTTGTCTTTAGAATGGGTAGCCTTGAGACCTGGAGATCGGAATGTCTACAAGTTATTTTCTACTGAAGCCAATGGGAGGAAGTGGGCCACTCTTTTTGTTAGATGGTATGCACAATTTTCTCCTAACCAACTAAAATCAAGGAGGTTAATCATATCTTGATAACACTCATTCCTAAATGTGTCTTAAACAATTATGGCTAATTAGTTTAGGTAATGTGTCCTATAAAATGATTACTAAAATTATTGCAAATAGAATCGAGAAGGTGATGGAGAAATTAGTTAATCTACGACTTCATTCCTCACAGAAATAGAAATGATAATATTGTGATTACACAAGAGGTTGTTCATTACATGAAGTCTTAAAAAGGAGCCAAATGATGGATGGTTGTTCAGATTGATTTTGAAAAAGCTTATGATAGACTGAAATGAAATTTTATCAATGGTACCTTGAAGGATATTGGAATGACAAATAATATTACTAATCTTGTTTGGTAGTGTATTTCTACTCCAGTTATGAGATTGTGGGTAAGTGGAGAAGCTTTAGAAGAATTCAGTCCGACTAGGGTTGGGCATATGGACCTTTCCTTTATTAGGAGTGTTCATCGAATCAGATCAATCAGATGAACCCGATAATCCAAACTAAACCAACTAAATTGGTTCAATTTTTTTTTTTCAAGTCCAACCATCTCTAAACTAATTAAATCTAATGTTGATTGGTTCAAGTATTGGACTAAGACATTTAAAATCCAAGTCAATTAATTTATATATTATTTTTTATTTGATTAACAATTATTATGTATGTATCATTTTGATTATTTTGAAAACATTTTTATGCTATAATATGTAGATTTTTTCATTCTTTTTTTCAAATACTTAAAAGAAACCAAGAAGAACTATATTACAATATTTTGTATGTCATTTTCACAAATTGTAGTGTATTTGAAATTCTTAAATAAATAAAGAAAAGAAATTAAGAGAAACTATATTACAAATCCATCAATTTATTTAATTTTTATAATATATTAATTTAGTTAATATTAAAAATTCTATTTACTTTAAGTAAAAAATACTTTTTTATTTTTTTTTAATTCATTAGATAATGGATGACTTGAATTGAATCAACCTAATCAATGTTGGATTGGTTCAGTTTGGGTTAAGTTAAAAAAATTATAAAATCCAAACCAATTAAATTTAATTAGTAAGAATTGGATTTTCACTCAATCGAAATGAACCTGAATTGTGAACACTCATACCTTTTTTCCCTAACCTTTTTCTGTTGTGCATGCAGAAACTCGTTCAACTTATTATGTTGACTATGTATAATGGTCTTTGGGATACCATTTAGTTATCTCGCGAAGGTCCCAAACTCTGTAATCTTTGCTTTGCAGATGAATTAATTCATTTTTTAAAAAAACTACGTACCCATTGTAATAACCTAATTTTGTCCGGGAAATGTCAATTTTGTTTAAAAAAATAACAAAAAAGGTATTTACAAAAAAAAAAAGACAAAAATATAGAAGGCAAATGTAACACCTCAATTTTCATATTTTTTGTGGAGGGTAATTTAGTAATTTTCATATGATTTTAATAGCCTAGAACGGGCCGTTCCCAAACTGGAACGGGCCGTTTCAACCTTCAAAAAATACTTATAATTTCTAGCCCAGAACGGGCTGTTCCAAACTGGAACGGGCCGTTTCAACCTTCAAAAAATACTTATAATTTCTAGCCCAGAACGGGCCGTTCTAACCTAACAAAAAGACCTATAAATTCTAGCCCAGAACGAGCCGTTCCAACCTTCCAAAAAGGCTTATATTTTCTAGCCCGGAACAGGCCGTTCCCAAACTGGAACGGGTCGTTCCAAGATATTAAAAAGAACTATAATTTCTAGCCCGGAACGGGCCATTCCCAAGCTTCCAAAATACCTCTATATTCTAGCCCAGAACGGGCCGTTCCCAAACTGGAACAGGTCATTCTAAATATGGTCGTTATGAGTAAAATTGAAACCCCGGAATAGGCCGTTCCGGATTCAGAACGGGTCGTTTCGGTCCCTCCTGAAAGTCTATAAATAGCGGCCCTTGCCTTTCCAAAGGGCACCCACCCACACACATTTCCACCTTGGACCAGAGGGAACCTAGAGAAAGAGACCATCAAGTTACCACTTCTGTAGTGAAGAATTGTGAGTATATCAAACTCACTTCTTTTTATTTTTTATTTTTAATATCTGTCATTAGTCCTTATTTAAATCCAAAATGTGATTAAATATCAAAATATAGTGTTATAATATTTAATGTAAATATCTGAAATTATTGTATCAAAAGTTTATTTGGAGGAATGGTTAATTAGATGTGACATCTTTTTAATCTTTGAATTTAAAGTACAAGTTGTGACAACTTATCTTTAAATTTTTTCTCCAAAAACAAAAATGTCCAACCAAAAAATTTTTTAACATCATAACATCTCTAGTAATAATTATAATTAAAATTTTATTGAATTGACTTTGGTGTACACCTTAGTCAATTTTATATTTTTAAGGTGAATGAGCTGAGACAGTTCAAGAATCCTATATTTAATAAAAATAAAATTTAATTAAAAAATATAACACACAAATATTTTCTACCAAAGAACTAGTGACTCTGATTCTTCATTACACATGAAGATACGTAGGAGCAAGAAATAAATCTTGTCGAGCCAAAAAATAAAAAATATATTATTTTCCTTTTTATATAACAATAATAATTTTGATTTTTTGTAATGCATTAGTTAAATTAGTTAAATAAAATATATTTAATCATTTTAAGTGAGATAAATATTTTATAAATTATAATTAATTTTTTTAATTAATTCAAGGTAATCGTCTTAGGACGAACGTTATGAGGTGCTAATATCTTCCTCACACGTAATCGACTCCCGAACTCAAAAATTTGGTTTTCGTAGACTATTTTCTACTTTATGGTTTTTCCAGTGTTTTTCCGTAAAAAATAACATTGGTGGCGACTCCCTCTTTTTTAATTTATTTTTCGCTGTCCCGTCGCGATCTCGGTTGCAACACCCATAATCAAAATAATTTCTTTGTTACAATATAAATTATTTATTATGAATCTTAAATATAATTAATATGTTTAGAATTATTTATTATGATATTGAATTACAATATAATATATTTATTTGAAAGTATTTTTTTACTCAATATTCAAAAGTATTTATTTATTAGGTTAAAATATACTTTTAGTCTCATTGTAATATTAAATTTGTAATTTTGATCCTCTATTTTTATTTATACAATTTTAGTCTTCTAATTTTATAAAATTTACAATTTTAGTCATCTCATTAAACATTTATCCACTGATAGTTATAATTGTAACATTATTTATGATCTAAGATTAAATATACCACATAACATTTAATATCTAATAATATCTAGGCTAAATTTCACTTTTAATTCCCATTTTCTCGTGAGTTCACATTAGATAGATGACAATATAATTAATATCTAATAATATTTAAATTAAATTATACTTTTAGTTATTTTTTTTATCACTTTTTCATCTCATTTTACCACTTTTATGAAATAAAAATGATAACTAAAAATAAATTTTAGTTTGTATATTATTGAATATTAATTATTATATCATTTATTTAATCTTAAATCATGACTAGTATTACAATTTTAATAATTAATGTCAACAAAATAACCAAAATTAAAGGTTTTATAAAATTTAAGACTGAAATTACTTAAGTAAAAATAAAAAGACTGAAATTTAAGACAACAATTATGAATTTTAATATTATAGGAGAACAAAAAATATAATTTTACCTATTATTATTAATCATAAATATATAAAATAAATATTTATCAGTTGTATTTTTTTATAAAATTTTATTACATGTATTGTACAAACTAAAATATCAATAATATATATATATATATATATATATATATATCACATTTGAATTTTATAATTTTAAAAAAAAATTATGTATTTTTTAATTTAAATATCTAAAAAAAATTATAAATTACTTTCTTTAATATATTTATAACTAGGTACTATATTTTGCGGTGATTGTTTAATAATTTAATAATTAACTTTTTTAATATATATTCATTTTAATCGTCATGTATCTAATGAACGTAATAAATATAATATTTAATATTTATGAAAAAATTACACTAATCTTCACTAAGGTCTTTTTTAAATGACATAAACATCTTTTATGTATTTATTTAA